CGCTTTAAATGGGCGCGGCTCGAAACAGTAAATTGATATTTAACATGCTCTGCTCCCAGAAACAACGATGGAGTGAAACCAGCACATGACCGGTGAAAGTAGACAGTACAATTTGATTTAATGGCCACTGTTAACTCAGCATATTCCAAGACAAAGGCCGAAAGTACATAAATCTTATTCACGACTTATCTGGTCGTTTCTGCTTTGAGGCCGGCCGCATGTGCGTGGGTACACACCCGGGCCAAAGAGAACTGCAAAGCATTCTAAAATAAGATATTGCCCGCCCCTAGCAATTTTAAGACTTCTCCGTCACAAAATCCATGTTCGGAATAAAATTTCTAGGATTTTTTTAATTATTTTATTACTTAATAAAATCGCTAAAAGACACTAGCAAGAGTGATGTGGTCACTTAGCTTAACTTTGAAAATTCGGATAACAGTTCCTAATTGGTGAATTGCAAAAATCATCGAAATGCGCATTTGTCGACCGAAACGCGGCTTGGAACATTAAGTTGAAATTTGACATGCTCTGCTCTAAGAAACAACGATGAACTGAAACCTAAATGTCTAATAAATGAGCAAAAAAGTGAATTTTTTATGCATGTTTTCCATGAAATATAATAGAATCTTTAAGGGCGCCGAAGAGCAATGAAAAAATGAATGCTAATTAAGTAGTCATTTTTTACGGAAATTGATTTTTAAATGCAGACGGAAAGAAATTTTTTCGAAAGTCGGCGTCCGGAGGTAACTGAATTATTATAGAATTATGCTGCAGGCTGATGCGTTTTACCACCCTACTTAATTAATATTTTCAAAACAAAAACGCATTTCGGAATTTCTGTTCAGATTTCATGAGTTAGCCCACTTACTGTAGAACTGCAAAACATTAGAAAATAAGATATTGCCTGCCCTCCGGGATTTTTAGATTTCTCTGTCACAAAGCCCATGCTCGGAATAAACTTTCTAGGAGCTTTTATTATTTTATTACTTACTAAGTTCATTGCAGGACACCAGCAAGAGTGATGTCTACTCTAGGGTCACTTAGCTTAACTTTGCAAATTCGGATAACAGTTTCTAATTCGTGAACTACAAAAATCACCGAAATGCGTATTTGTCGACCGAGCCTACGAGTTAAGCCATAACTAAACAGAATATAAATCCTGATTTTTACAGCCAACTATTATTTTCTACGCCACAGTTCAGAGATTTTCTAATAACCTTTTCAAACCTATTAGCGGGAAGTTATCTTATCAAAGGATTTTAAAACTTACAGCCAAGCATTTTTTCATTCGCCGACGTCAAATGACTTGGATGAAGCGCAGAAAAACTTAGAGGGATCCGCAAAGATCTTGGTTATCAGTGTGACATCCAGTGCAGTTACAGTGAGTGGCCGATCTCATGAAATGTTGACCAAAATTCTGAAATGCGTTTTTCATTAGGAAGCGTTGCTTAGGTGGGGTTGTAATATTGGTCACTATGCGGCATACCCTACAATTTTTCAGGATGTCGGCTTTTTAATGCATCTCTTTTTTGACCTCCTGTGGAAACCTCATTTGGTAAGAAATGCTTACGTGCGTAGCATGCACTTCTCACATTGATTTTTGATGGTTTTATAGATTCAAATATATTTTGTAGAAAGCATACACAAAATACGCTCTCATTTACCCCCTTGTTGGGGAATCTCGTCATCTTTACAATTCACGAATACTTTTGAGCCTGACCAGCCGTTCCATTAGCGTTTGGCGATTTCGGTCTACAAGGTGCCTGTTTTCGGTGCAAGGAAAATCACAAATAAATATTGTCAATCGATGCGGACTATGTTGTACATTTCATGAGGAGCAGTGGCAAACGGATATGTGCCATGCTCTCTGAATAGCCACTGCACATTCTTAAAAATCTCATAACTATAAACATTTTCAAAAGCTAAATATGCCCTTCCTTCGGGCATAAATGCAAAGATGACGTGATTCCCCACCAAACGAGTAAAATAAAAAGTACTTTTGTGCATGTTTTGCAAAATATATATTTGAATTTATAAAGCCGTCAAAAATCAATGCGAAAAGGGCATTCCACTTAAGTAGCCATTTCTTACCAAGTGCGGTTTCCACAGGAGGTCACAAAGAAATGAATTCAAAAGCCGACATCCTGCCAACTCCGAAACATTGTAAGATTATGTCGCATATTGATCAATATTACAACCCCACCTAAGTAACCCTTCCTAGTGGAAAACGCATTTCAGAATTTCTGTCAAAATTTCATGAGATCGACCACTCAATGTATATGGGATTTGCGGGATTAGAGGCCAAGAATACTGCATTTTTCGTCCGGAACTCATGAATTTATCCATTGTTTTTCGGACTTAACGAGCGTGCTCCTCTGGGAGGCATTGTCATTGCATGTTCTCCATCAGCCGAATCAAAAGCCGACAGACAGTGACATTTAAGGGGTCCTTTGGACCAGAGTGTCCGACTATGGTACACAGTTCCAGCGCAGTATGCAAAGTCCCTCTTTGTCCACACTTGGCGACTTCGAAGGAAGTTTACCGGCAAACATAGTGGAGACGAACATGTTCACTTCTGTCAAAATTATCATTGTCTTCGGTCCAGCAAGGTCTGCAATTACCAAGGCTAAGCCAGAAGTTGATTATCCATTCGCAATAAAGAATTGCATTCTAGTCCTATTTTATTCACTTATAGGTCATGCGGGCCTTAGAATTACTCCACTTCAGCCTGCCGATAATTCAACAGGTAATCGAAGACGCGGCTGCAATATCAGTACAGGAAGATAAAAACACTTCATCTATCGTGAATGTGGCAATACCACTAACTGATTTTACGTGCTGGGAGAATACCAGCATTTGTGTGACCGGTGGCAGACCTGGTTGTCGGCAGACGTCGCGCACACTGGGACCCCTGCCGCCCCTGCCATTGTTGTTGTTGGCAAAAAACCTGGTCATTTGCTGTGTTGAGTGGGTAGCCAGGGTGGGGGCTCGACCGTGCCATGCACCTGCGTCCTCCCCTGACTCCGGTCTACTTGACTCTGTTTTGACACCGGATACAGGTTGAGGAGAGGGTGCGGTAGATGCAGCGCAAGTCTACATTCACTATAAATCAAATCATGCACAAGTCACCGTGCCTGCCTTCCCTTGCTGTGGCGCACACGGTAGACATGGTCACAAAACGACGGTCGAACTGTCATAATTACTTCCAGATAAAAAGGAGTATATGCCGATATTTATTGTTTTTCTTCGATGCAACCACCTTACATCTGCTGTACGCTTTTCTTAGTTTTGACGGAGATCTAATTTAAATGCACCTATTACTGCACAGATTGACAAATATCAGGCATTACACCTCTATGTCTTTATATGCCTATAACCAACGATCAAACACGTCGTTTTGTTTGTAAGCTGGATTGAGAGGTCTTTCCTTAGCTTCCTCTTAAACACAATTGTTAGTTGAATAATTACGTTGTTTACCTGCTAACTGCTCATAAGAATCAGTGGTAGTAAAATTAAATCTTTCAGAAGAGAGAGTGGCGAGTGAACGTTCCTTTCGGTAAATTCTCATCAGGCCAATACAATTACATAGGGCGGGGTACAGTGAGTGAAACAAAAATCGATAAAAGTTAGGTTTTAAATTACAGGCTCGGCAAGAGCGGAAGGGCGCCGAAAGTTGTATGTGGTTAGTCAACCTTTGACCATGGTAAGCGCGGAGCCTGAACAAGGTTCTTTTGGGCGCATAGGGTCGGTTTTCTTAACCTTATGGCGGCCGCTTCTGCTGTTGCTAGCAGGCGCTGGCCCAGTAGCTTAGGGTAGCTCGAGGGGACCTTGTAAATCACACGAAATGCTTCGGTGGGGTCCACACGATGCCCTGAGTCCACTGCATGTGCAAGGATGGCGCTGTCTATTCTCCTAGTTTCACCCTTTGCCAGCCATGCGGGAAGGTGCTCTCGTATTCTTTTGGAAAGGCGCCGACTCGTACGACCAATATAACCTGCTCCACAGGAGCAAGTGAATGAGTAGATGCACATTGAGGCGGTCTGAGGTGGCAGCCTATCCTTGCCTTCTCCGCGTAGAATAGGGTTAGTGGAGAATGATATGCGAACCCTTGCTGCTGGGAAGGTTCCCGAGACAGCTTGGTCAAGGCGTCTTCTTAGGAGTTCACCTGCAGCGTCTCCTTGGAAGGGGACTTTGAGGAACAACGTTTTCTTCTCGGCGGTTAGTGTGGTGGGTTTTGCAGGTCGTTCGACAAGGTTCTTTGCAATGAACCTGTCAGGATACCCATTTTCGCGAAGCAAGTCCTGGATTTTTCTAAGTTCCTCCTCGATACTATCTGTCGAACAAATTTTTTAGCCCTTTGTGCCAAACACCTGACTAGATTCCGTTTTTGTTGGAGAGGTACGAAACTAGCGAAGTTCGTGTATTGTCCAGACCAGGTTTTCTTTCGATAGACACTCCTTCGGATGCTACCGTCAGATCTCCTGTTTAGAAGGACATCTAGGAAAGGAAGCGAACCAGCCGACTCCATCTCCAACGTGAATTTGATCGACGGATGTGCCTGATTTGCAGCATTTAGGAGGGCAGCGACATCGGTTTCCGTGGTTGCAATCGCAAAGATGTCATCAACGTAGCGACCATAATGTTTAAGCTTCTTGATCTGATCGCTTAGTTGAAATCTCTCCAGCTTGCCCATGAAGACGTCGGCTAAGAGAGGTCCAAGAGGCGAGCCCATGGCAACGCCGTCTATTTGTCTATAGAGATGGTTGTCAAAAAGGAACTGCACATTTAATGTGCATCTAAGTAATAGTTCCTTGAGTGTTTTTGTCGGCAGTCCTATTTCTTGATGACTGGCAGATAGAAAATCACAGATGTAGTCAACTGTCTCGGTGACTGGGACGTTTGTAAAAAGTGATGCGACGTCTAGTGAGAACATCATCATGCCGTCAAGGTTGAGGTCTTTAATGTCGTCAATGAATTGAAAGGTATCTCGATAGCTGCGTGGTGCAAGCTGATGTTGTATGGGCTTGAGCTTCTCTGCTAACCACTTAGCTATCGCATGATACGGAGAGTTCCGCATATCTAAAATCGGGCGAACCGGTAGGCCTTCCTTATGAATCTTAGGTAAACCATATAATCGGGGAATATGTGTCCCGACTGGCCGGAGGTGTTCGAAGTCATGGTCACTTATGTGACCTCCTGTGTGGAGCCTTCTTAAACAGTCAGTCAATTTCGCCTCTGCGTCATCCGTGCAATCCTTCTCTTTATCTGTCTTTCTGAATTTCTTCTGGTCAGATAGTATGGACTCTATCTTCGCTACGTAGTCCGATCTGTTCATTATGACGACGCCTGTTCCCTTGTCAGGTCTAGTTACCAAGATCTCTTTGTTCCCTCGAAGTTCTTTTAATTTTTCCACGTGTGCTTTTGTCAGTAATCCTCGACATTTTGGTCCTTTGTTTAGGTATTGGTAGCTGCAATTCACTAGTGTGGATTTGAAGTGTTGGATACTGTCTGTCGAAACGGGCAATAGATCGAATGTTTGGTTCCAGAGGTTCTCGAACTGCGTTTCCAATTCTAACTGATTTAATTTTCGACGAGGTATGCAAAATTTCGGACCAAGGGATAATGCTTCAAGTGATGTTTTATCAAGTGTCATATAAGAGTAGTTGTGTACGTACCGAGCTGGGTCTTTCGGAAACCGTGACTGGGCTTTCATCTCATGTAAACTCCTAAGAAGCGCAGAGCGTTTTGCCTCTCCACGTTTCTTTTCAATGGACTGAGTGTACATGTCGAATTCTTGTCTTTCCTCATCTGCCAGGGTATCTAGGACGGCTGTGCGTTGACAGACATGACGCTCAAGTTCCTCTAATTTTACGAGGGTACTCTCCAGTTGATTTTCGGCATATCTTTTCAGAGTTTCTGTGGTAATAACTGTACGACTACGACGCAGCGCTCTCCAATAATGGTCTGGATACTCATTTCTCTCAATACAGTCCCCGATAAATTTGGCCATCACTTTCGCCTCCGCAAGCTTGGTGTTAAAACGTAGGTACCCATTGAGTGCCTTCAACACCGTGGGGTCTTTGGACTGTTTTAAATGTGTGAAAATCCCCATCACTATATTCAGAAGAGAGAGTGGCGAGTGAACGTTCCTTTCGGTAAATTCTCATCAGGCCAATACAATTACATAGGGCGGGGTACAGTGAGTGAAACAAAAATCGATAAAAGTTAGGTTTTAAATTACAGGCTCGGCAAGAGCGGAAGGGCGCCGAAAGTTGTATGTGGTTAGTCAACCTTTGACCATGGTAAGCGCGGAGCCTGAACAAGGTTCTTTTGGGCGCATAGGGTCGGTTTTCTTAACCTTATGGCGGCCGCTTCTGCTGTTGCTAGCAGGCGCTGGCCCAGTAGCTTAGGGTAGCTCGAGGGGACCTTGTAAATCACACGAAATGCTTCGGTGGGGTCCACACGATGCCCTGAGTCCACTGCATGTGCAAGGATGGCGCTGTCTATTCTCCTAGTTTCACCCTTTGCCAGCCATGCGGGAAGGTGCTCTCGTATTCTTTTGGAAAGGCGCCGACTCGTACGACCAATATAACCTGCTCCACAGGAGCAAGTGAATGAGTAGATGCACATTGAGGCGGTCTGAGGTGGCAGCCTATCCTTGCCTTCTCCGCGTAGAATAGGGTTAGTGGAGAATGATATGCGAACCCTTGCTGCTGGGAAGGTTCCCGAGACAGCTTGGTCAAGGCGTCTTCTTAGGAGTTCACCTGCAGCGTCTCCTTGGAAGGGGACTTTGAGGAACAACGTTTTCTTCTCGGCGGTTAGTGTGGTGGGTTTTGCAGGTCGTTCGACAAGGTTCTTTGCAATGAACCTGTCAGGATACCCATTTTCGCGACGCTTTTCGTTCAGAACCCCTGCAGTCAGAAACGCTAACGGGACCAGATCGCTGACACTATTGTTGTTCATTAACCTTCAAGCCCCATTACGTTCCATGTAGACTGATGTGTTCAGAGTTGCAGGACATTCTATAAAAACGATAACGTCGTTGCCAATGTCTCAATGAGTTGCTCCTGTGGAGCGGGATACATCGGCCGTACAACGAGACGCCTGGTAAAGAGGGTGCGTGAACATATGCCCGCCTGGCTAGACAGAGGTGAGACCCGATCGGTTTCGAGCTCTATTCTCGCACATTTAATCGATACGGATCACCGAGTCGATGCCAAGGAAGCATTTCAGGTTGTCTATCGGACACCAACAAGCTTCTCTAAAGGCCTACGCCAACGGATACTAGCAACGGCCGAGGCAGTGGCTATACGGCTGGCGAATCCGGTGCTATGCTGCCAGAAAACCCTGACACAAGCGCTCTCTCTGCCGTGGCCAAAGCCAACCTCACGTGATGACGACATGCCGCCTCAAATCCCTGATTACAGTGATATGTACTCCGTGTACTCAATCCAAGAACATCACTCAAAGACTCGCTTACCCCCATCCCCCAGCTCTAAGGACCAAAACCCGCCGACCTCGTCATGCGGGCGGCGTGAGGAAGATGAGTGTTAATAACTTAATTGCCCTTGCGACACCTATAGACACTGTTAATTTTGTACATTTTCACTCCTTCATGTAATTGTATTGGCCTGACGAAGAATTACCGAAAACGTGTGCTAGCCAATTTGACTTTACTATTGTTGTTCATTAACCTTCAAGCCCCATTACGTTCCATGTAGACTGATGTGTTCAGAGTTGCAGGACATTCTATAAAAACGATAACGTCGGGGCCAATGTCGCAATGAGTTTAAAAGATTACATGTTGATAAAAAATAACATATGGTTAGTAAAGAAAAGTCAATGATGGCCAGTTTCCATTTCAATGCAGAAAAGTGTCAGCCGAAATCTTAAATCTAGAATAACGGCTCATTTATTAACTGTCAGTCCTGTCAGGTAGACGCGTGACACTCAGATGTTGTTGTGGGAATCTTGCTCGACTTCACTCTGTCTACCCGCCAGCTGGGCTGCTGGCGTCAAGGACGTTTTGCCAGGGGGGCACATGACGATGACCGTGGAACCGCTGTCTGTGTCTGGCGTTTTTAGCACCTTGGCGAGCATGCTCTGTATTAGTTGTCAATCCGTTCACAAATGACCGTCTAGCCTGTCATGCGATAAAAGAGTGCATGATAAAATTAACTATAGGAGTTTACAGGGATTGCATGCTGAAGGTGCGTTTTTGACAGTGCCCTTTGTAAATTATTCATGTTTACCCCGGTACCTATTTTATTTAAGTAGCGAGATTATATAAGTTAAACGTGGGCTCGGTACGGTGGGGTTGGGTTCAGACTGACGGATGGAATTGGCATTAGAGAGTTTCAAATCTATCTTATTAAAGTGGGGCAGGATACTTTTGTGTAAAGGCCTACGTTACGCACGTGATTCCCTATACAGGCCCACGTCTGTCATAGGAAGTATTTTTATTCGGGGGGCGTAAATACGAGCATGACGTTTTCGAGCCAAGTACTTTCCGCAGGTAGAAAGCAGATCTTCCATCAAGAGAAATATACGCCAAAAATCGTATATCCTCTGAGAAACGATGAGCCTACTCAACTCAATGAATTGAAGCATTTATGACAGCACAAAAAATTGTCGAAAGTAAGTTTTTTCTCACCACGAATTGCATGACGTAAGCAAATAAGGTGTC